ACAACTACTGGGTCAACACTGAATTCAGAGAAGAAATTTAAAGATTCCTGGAAACAAATGAAAATGAAGAAACATCTTACCAAAACCTCTGTGATGCCATGAAAGCAATTCTAAGAAGGAAATTTATATCTCTATGAGTACACATCAAGAAAACAGAAAGATCAAAAGTGGAGAGCCTAACAAATCACCTAAGGGAGCTGGAAAGAAAAGACCACCAAAACCCCAACTTTAACAGAAGAATCCAAACACCAAAATAAGAGCCCAAATACTGGACATAGAAGACAAAAATATCATAGAAAACATCAACAAAACAAAAAGCTGGTTCTTCGAAAGAGTTAATAAGATTGATGGACCCCCTAGCCAGAATGACCAAGAAAAAGCCCAAATAAACACACTCAGAAATACAAAAGATCAAATCACAACTGAACCCGAAGAAATACAAATGATTATCAGAGATTACTACGTACACCTATATGGAAACAAACTTGATAACCTAATTGAAATGGAGGACTTTCTGACATCACATAACTGTCCCAGGTTGAAACAAGAAGACATTGAGACACTAAGTAGACCAATAACAACTCAGGAAATTGACTCTGTCATATGAAAACTACCTATAATAAAAAGCCCTAGACAAGATGGCTTTCCAGCAGAATTCTACAAAACGTCCAAGGAGGAGCTGATACCAATGCTTTTAAAAGTATTCCAGGCAATTGAGAAAGATGGAATTCTCCCCAATTCATTTTACAAAGCTAACATCACACTGATACTCAAACCGGGTAAACATCCAACAAAAAAAGAGAACTACAGGCCAATATCCCTGACTAACATAGATACAAAAATCCTCAATAAGATTCTAGCAAATTGGATCCAAAAACACATCTCAAAAATCATCCACCATGACCAAGTATGCTTCATCCCCGGGATGCAGAGCTGGTTCAACATTCGCAAGACCATAAATGTAATTAATTACATCAACCAATATAAAAACAAGAACCACATGATTATATCATTAGATGCAGAAAAAGCTTTTGATAAAATCCAGCATCCATGTCTTGATAAAAACCTTCAGACACCTAGGTATAGAAGGAACATACCTCAAAATAGTAAGTGCCATCTACAATAAACCCACAGCTAACATATTGGTAAATAGACAGAAACTGGGAACATTTCCCCTAAAATCTGGAACAAGACAAGGCTACCCACTCTCAACCCTCTTGTTCAATATTGTGTTGGAAGTCCTAGCTCAAGAAATTAGACAACAGAAGAAAATCCAGGGTATCCAAATAGGAAAAGAGGAAGTCAAGTTATTCTTCTTCGCTGATGATATGATACTATACCTTGAAAATCCAAGAGAATCTATCAAAAACCTGCTTGCACTGATAAAGGAATTTGGCAAAGTCTCAGGGTACAAAATAAATGTGCAAAAGACAATTGCATTCCTATATACCAACAACAAGCAGGCAGAGACCCAAATTAAATCATAATCCCATTCACAATAGCCACACAAAAAATGAAATATCTCAGCATCTTCCTAAACAGAGAAGTTAAAGACCTTTACAATGAGAACTACAAAACATTGCTCAAAGAAATCCAAGAAGACACAAGCAAATGGAAAAATATTCCATGCTCATGGATAGGAAGAATCAACATTGTAAAAAATGCCCATCCTACCAAAGGAAATCTACAGATTCAATGCAATACCCATTAAGTTACCAATAACATTCTTCTCATACCTGGAAACAACAATACAGAAATTCATATGGAAACATCAACGACCACGAATAGCCAAAACAATTCTTAGCAAAAGATACGAAGCAGGAGGTATCACACTTCCAGACTTCAAACTTTACTATAAGACTATAGTAATCAAAACAGCCTGGTATTGGTACAAAAACAGGCACATAGACCAATGGAACAGGATAGAGATTCCAGAAACAAAGCCTCAATTTCTCAACCAACTCATCTTTGACAAAGCCTCCAACAACAACCACCGGGGAGAGGAGAACCTATTCAGTAAATGAAAAACTGGCTGGAAAAACTGACTGATCACATGCAGAAGACCAAAACAGGACCCCTACCTATCACCATATACAAAAATTAACTCTAAATGGGTCAAAGACCTAAACATAAAACCTCAAACTATAAGAATCTTAGAAAATGCAGAAGACACCCGTATGGAAGTTGGAACTGGCAAGCAATTCCTAATCAGAACCCTAAATGCCCATACCTTAAGACATAAGATAGACAAGTGGAAACTTATCAAACTAAAGAGTTTCTGCAAAGCAAAAGACACCATCAAGAGAGCAGGGAGACAGCCCACAGAATGGGAAAAAATATTTGCCAACTGTATATCTGACAAAGGCCTAACATCTAGGATCTACAAGGACTCAAATGCAGTGAAAGGAAAAAAACAAACAGCCCCATTAAAAAGTGGGCAAAAGATATGAATAGACACTTCTCAAAAGAAAATATATGGGCAGCCAACAGACACATGAAAAAGTGCTCAGCTTCACTCATCATCAGAGAAATGCTAATCAAAACCACATTGAGATACCATCTAACCCCAGCAAGAATGGCCATCATTAATAAAACAAACAATAACAGATGCTAGCAAGGATGCGGAGAAAAAGGAATGCTTCTGCTGGTGGGAATACAAACTAGTGCAACCTCTTTAGAAGACAGTGTGGTGGTATCTGAAAGAACTAGAAAGTGACCTTCCATATTACCCAGTAATTCCCCTGTTTGGAATATACCTGGAGGAACTCAAATCATTCTACAAAAAAGAAACCTGCACACATATGTTTGTTGCAGTTCTGTTCACAATGGCAAAAACATGGAACCAACCATGCTGCCCATCGAAGTTGAACTAGATTAAAAAAATTGTGGTACATATATACAATGGAATATTATGCCGTCAGAAAGAAGGACAAACATATGGACTTCGCAGCAACTTGGATGGATTTAGAGTAGATCAGACTCAGTGATCTATCACAGAAACAAAAAACAGAATACCATATGTTCTCACTCATAAGCGGACCTTGAACAATTATAATACTATAAGAAAGTGATTGGCAGTAGTGGGAAACTGTGGGAGGGGGTGGGATTGGCAGTTGAGGGAAACTACTAGGGGAGGGAGAGGGCATACCTCATCAACAAGGATACCTGCATAATCAACGTTTGTATACCTAACCCTGAATTCCTGGGATTACAGGCTGAGCCACCAAGTCCAACCAAAAACAAATTTTCTATTTGTGTTATGTCAACTACATCACACGTGTTTGTATATGCTCTTTTGCTCTCTGGGATATCATCTACTCACTCTAATTTCTCCTCATCAGTTTAAACAAATATTAGGATCTCCAGAGCCCAGCAGGTCAACACTGGGATGGCTGTGAGTGTGCCACTGCACTCCAGTCTGGGCAATGGATTGCCTGAGTCCATAGGTTTGAGAGCAGCCTGGACAACTTGGTGAGACCTCCAATATGTAAGTCAGTGAAAAGATTATTTCCAGATTATTTTGCAAAACTGAGTTGCTCAAAAATACTATAGAAGAAATGGTGAAAACATGATTAAATGAATTGGGAACAGGCTTCCTAAATTTTTGGTGCTGGATAAAGGCCAAGAAACAAGTATTTCAAACAGCTGATATGAGACAAAAAGAAATCTTTAGAAGGTAAAAGTCGGTCAGGTTTGGTATCTCAGCCTGTAATCCCAGCACTTTGGTAGATTGCCTGATCCCACAGGTTCGAGATCAACCCAGACAACTTGGTGAGACCTCATTTCTACAATAAATAAATAAATAAATAGATAGATAAATAAATAAATAACTGGGGGTGGTAATGCGTGCCTGTAGTTCTGGCTACTTGGAAGGCTGAGGCAGAAAGATCGCCAGAGCCCAGCAAGTCAACACTGGGGTGGCTGTGAGCATGCCACTGCACTCCAGCATGGGCAACAGAGTGAGATGCCAACTAAAAAAAACCAACAAAAACCAGTAAAAGTAGATGAGGAGGGATCCCCCTATGGTGTCTATGGGATAACATGAGATTTCTGTACTCACTGTAGACAGGAATCTAGTGATTTGTGGTTGTCATTGTCATTGTTGTTTTAACTGAGCTTGTTTCTTTTCCTTTTTGTTTTTGTTTTGTTTGTTTGAGTCAAGGATCTCACTCTGTCATCCAGGCTGGAGCACTGTAGGGCAACCATAGCTCACTGAAGGCTTGAACTCCTAGGTGCAAGTGATCCTCCCATCTCAGCCTCCCGAGTAGACATGACCCACTGTTCCTGGATAAATTTTTAAATTATTTTGTAGAGATGGCGTCTTGCTGTGTTGCTCAGGCTGTTGTTTCTTTTCTATCAGATGTCTCCCTAAAGTGAAGTGGCAGATGGAGGTGTGGAAGGGGAAGAGGAATTCCTGATGCAGTTGGGTGGTAAGAACAAAAAGGTAAGTTCATTCCACACTGTTTCTGTGCAAATGGGAACATTTTCAGTCCAGGTTACAAGGAGGCTAATATAGAGTCCCTGACATTTGTCAGCTAGCTGATATTTCTACTCTTCTTTCTTTCCCTTCTACATACACACATTGTTCCATATGCTTTGGAATCTAAACTTTCTTGTAACTATAATCCTTGAAACAAAAATCCATACTCTGTTCCTATGCTTATGGTCTTGGTTTTAAAAACTATTTCTGGGTAACTGTTAGAGAACAACTCAGTAGGCACTTAATAGCTTAATTATCACCAAGTAAGAACCATAAATAAATTTTCTACCACATGTGGAGTTTGGCAATGCAGACTGTTTAATCACTGTGGGAGGCTTAAATTTTCTGAACCAACACTTGGTACCTATGAGCTGACAACTGTGAGTAATGTTTCAGGGATGATGCAAGAGAATATTTGAAATGGGAACAGCTTGGGAAATTCATAATGCCAAAGTAAGCATAAGGGTACAAAGAAGAGAAGCTCAAGGGCCTGGTTCCAGCATAAAACATAAAAACATACCAGAATAGACGATGGCGTTGCCTGAAGACTTGAACTTGGGGTACTCCAATCTAGGTCTTCACTTTGGGGCAGCAAAACTCCTCTCACTGAAGAAAGAAAAACGTTAAGGAACATTTTTAGTCAAGACACTACTGTCGTTGAGGTACAAGGACCACTGAAAGCCAAGTTCTTCCTCTTTGCAGTTCAGATTTTAGCAGTGTGTGGGACACACTTGCTTAGAAAATATTTGCTACTTTATTCAGATATCTTACTAATATGAGCACAATCTGTTTGAATTACATGAATCTAACATACAAGGGAGGACCAAAAAACCCCAGAATTATTAAAAAGTGTGCATTTATTCTTACATGTTTAAGCTTCAGTCATCTTCAAAGTACTCTCTGTTTCGTGCAATACACCTATCCAGATGCTTTTCCCACTGCTCAAAACAGTTTTTGAATTGGTCAATTTTGATGCCTTTTGGTGCTTCTGCCGTTTTTTGTTTCACCTCTTCCACACTGGCAAAGCATTTCTTTTTGAGGACATTTTTCATCCAGGGAAACAAAAAAAAGTCACTCTGGGTGAGATCAGGCAAATAGGGAGGGTGGGGCACGGGGGTCATGCTGTGTTCGGTCCAAAACTGCTGAACTCTCAGCAAGGTATGAGAAGGTGCACTGCCATGGTGGAAGAGTTACCTGTTTGCCACAGCTAAGAGCATTTCTTCTGCAAATCGTGATGCAAACTTCTAAAAACTTTCAGATAAAAACTTTGATTGACCATTTGATCCAGAGGAACAAATTCCAAGTGTACTAAAGGGGCTTGCCCTCCAAAAGATAATTCTGAATTTTGGCGGGGAAAATCCCCCCTTGTAAAATATTCTTTACTTACTCTATTGAGGACATGCCTATATTATTTCCCTTCCTTTCTCAAGTCAGTTTTACACTTCAAGATTTCTATGAAGTATTTACCTTTTAACTGATTTTTTTAAGTAAAAAAGTTATACTGAAATTTCAATTCATTTGGTTGATGCTAAGAATGGTTTTTAAAAGTATGCAAAATAATTACCTTTTTGACAGAAAGTACCTTCAAAAAGTGGGCTAGGACACCAAAAAACTTTATCAGTATAACAATATTAATGACCAATAAGGAAAATAGTAGATTGCATGATTTAATTCAACAAAGATTTACTGAATCTTTGCTAGTTACCACAGACATTGCCAAGGGTGAGGCTATAAACATTAAGAAAGTCAAGTTTCTCTTCTGGAAGCACTGTCTATGTCAGAGAGATAAACACAAATTATAAATTAAAAAATGATATGAGGGGCCTGTCTACAACATCTGGGAGCATAGACAAAGAAGCAATTGATATTGCCTAGAGAAGAGAGAGAATAAACAAAAGTTAAAAAGAAGGGCCTGCCAGGAGGGTGATCTGGTGTATGCAACCAAAAATAGAAGCAGAGTCTCTATTCACCTGCTCCCACTGGCCTGACATAGAGGGAACAAGCAGAAGCCAAAAACTGTTTGGCTTAAATATTTTTCCAAAACTCTTTTCAACTGTGTACACAATTATCTTGTCTTCTATGGAAAATGAGCTCCAAGAGATCAAGGAGGATCCTATCTTTTGAGATGATAACTATGTTACTTAGAAAACTACAACCATGCCGGCCTCTGAAGTTGGCGTGACAATAGAAGGAGACTTTAGGGACAAAATTCTGCATAATTGAAACACACATATATTGAAAGGCCAAGAAACCTGCATTACTGGGGACTGGATATTTTAGAGCTTTTGTTGAACTTACAAATTCTGAGAGATGTTTACCTCTTTTAGGACATCTTTTAGGAGGTAGCTCCACCCCTAGGCTCTAGGCTCCACATGAAAGGGAGATCTTGCAATGCTGTCGTGGATGTAGATTCCTAAGCAATTTCACTTTGTCTGCTATTTACGTTAATCCTCATGCCATTCTCCTACTACCCTGGGTACTGACCTTGGTGCTTGCATCTTCTGCTAAATTTAGATTCCAGTCTCTCTTAGGTTATGACCTCCTAACTAGATCTTTTCTCTGTTTGATCTCAATATTCAGATTCCAAGAACCTTCTGGCCCACATATTGTCCCAATGATTAGCACCCAGGTGGTCTCTACTGGCCTTGTCATAAGGACTTTAGCAGTTTCAGATTATAAAAAGTTTCTTCTCTTCTTATCTAGTTCAAGTATTTCAAGAAAAATCAACAATGAAGAAGGAACATATGAGAAAGTGAGCAGAGGGTACCCTTCCTGCTCCAAAATACAAGGCTCCTTAGCATTTAAGATCTGGAAACTTTATGTCACTATCATCCACTGAAGAGTTTCACCATCTTAAAGTCCTATGTAACACATTGTTACATTTAAGAAACATCAGTCCAGCACCAAAATAGTTGAAAAGAAGTTCAGCCTCTCAAGAAAATAGTTCAGTCTCTCAAAAAAAAAAAATCTTATTTGGAGAATGAGGGTTAAATTACACACAGTAAAATTTTATTAAAATCTCTCTCCCTCTCATACACACGCACTCTTGCACATACACATACACAACTGCCTGAAAAGACAAGACTTTCTTTTCGCTTTTTCTAAAAATTTCCCTCTAAGTTCCCAACCCAAGAAATCTTGATTCTTTACTTTCTTCTCTGTCTTGTCTTTTAAATCTATTCTATTTTCTTCTGTTAATAATGTTCTGCTCTTCTTATGTAAATCCATCAAACCTCTCTGTCTTTTCTATTGTCTATTTGTTTTTGTTTATTTGTTTGTTACACACACACACACACACACACACACACACACACACACACACACACCTGTTCCCACTGGCCTGACATAGAGGGAATAAGCAGAAGCCCAGGAGGTTCTGCCTGAAAGGAAAGAGACTCTCTTCTCTCAGAAATATGTGGGAGATGGAGAGGGGTTGTAAAAAAAATGCATCATGTTAGTATTGCCTCTCACATGTGGATTTTCTTGTTGGATAGCTGGGACTTCTGTAATATACATTCTACTCAGCACTGTAAAGGCTGAACTACCTATGAGTGAAGGAATCATGGAGAAGCAAATATGAAGCAGTAAATAAGTAAGGATATCATGTCCCGAATGAGTTCAAATGTTGTATACTAGTACTCAGCCTCTTAGAAAGCTTTAGTTCCAGGTTGACTGGGCCATCCATTAGCCTCCAAATTCAGAGTAGACACCGTCTTCTTGATGATCCCCCAGATCTACCTGTTCATTACAGATCATAACTGGATCTCCACAGCTACCTGATTTAAGTAAGTACTGGATTATCTGGAATTCTGCCGAGCACCCATTACCAGTTCTTCTCAAACTCCTGGTCTCACACGATCCTCCCACCTTGGCCTCCCAAAGTGCTAGGATTATAGGCAGGAGCCACCATGCTTGGTCAGTTCTTCTCTGACCCAAGTCTTCCATTAACTTTCCTTCTGCTCTCTGGCTTTTAAGCCTTTATCATCTGACTTACCTCAGAGAGTTCCTGTCTTGGTTGTCTGGGCAGCATCCTAGCCTGTTTCAATTCATACTTCCAGTACTATTTTCCTTTTTCTTATACTTTGCTCCCATTTCTCTAAACTATTTCTAATTGTGGTGCTATTCTACACTTTTCCCACTCTATGGGCTTCTGTCTGCAAATAGTCCAGGAAGCCTCTGATTAATCTATCCGAGTAGCTGCATGGCTGAAGCTCCATTCAGATCAGACTGGCTCCTGTCCTACACAGTCTAGAGAATGCTCAGAAACACATATATATATTTAGGAAAATCAGTTTTCACCAGAGCATATTGGAAAAGAAACTTAAGTACGCAAGGACCTCATGATAAATATCAAACTCACCGCTGAGAAGCTGAAGGGAATCCGGATCTGGATTCAAGGAGGAGTTCCCCAGCAAAAAATTCTGTTGTAGTGTCTCAGCAATATAATCTCTGAAGTTACTAATTGTATAAACGACAGTAGGCTTATCATCCAATTCCATAAGGCCGTGGTTTTCCACCTTGTTGGAATGAAGGCTAATTAGGTCCCAGGTGGTATTGCTGATAGCCTCGCCATTAAAGGTAACCGCGTAGTGAACATCTACACCGCTATGGACGGAAAGAGAGGACAGATTAGGTCCAGCTAAGGAAACACAGAGAAAGCAGCATTGAACCTGTGGAGACCAGACATGAGATGTGGCGGGGGGGG